ATGTTTTTTGTCTTTTCTGAAAAATGATGAAACATGTAAACTCTTTTTGGATTTTCTTTTTCTCTTTTTTTAAATTTTTTTTAAAAAAAATAACGGGGAAAGTGAAACCTTTTTTTTTGGATTTTTCATTTTCATGTTTTTGGTTTTTTTTTATGAAAAAAAGTGTGAAAGGAAATTATAACCGGGCCCCACTTGCTTCATTTTCACACTTCACCCTCTTTTTTTTTTCATTTGCCCTCAGCTATTATTGGTCCGCCAAATGACCCTTCTACCCTTGAAGATTGCAACATGTAGCACATAGGATGCATCAGGATGGTCTTTTATTTTTGGGTACACCTGTCCTAGACGGACCCTACCCGTGTGTTGAGTTCCCTAAGTCAAATACACATGATGCAAACAAGCGTTCCTACTAGGGATTCGGCATGAGGCTGAGTTATTCTAGGTTTTAAAACATGGGTGTATTGTTCTAGACTTGGTGTACCCGAGCGGACAACTCGAGCCGAGGGGGGGCTACGTACCGGGAACCAAAAGGCCATCCGGCTTTGTAACTTGTCCGAGCCTCTTCCTAATTTAAGGTATGACACTAACAAAAGAGGAGTCACGCCAGCGTGGACATCCTCGAAGATGAGAAGAGAGGGGTTTCGCAGCAGTTTATATACAGTTCAGATAATATCAAAGCGGTAAAAAGCAACATTTAGCACATTAGGCCCAAACATGTAATTAAACCAGATAATAAATAAAAGCCAAATATAACAGTTATTCAAAGCTTGAATTCTTGAACCCTGAACCAGAGATTCTGGGTTTTTATCCCCAGCAGAGTCGCCAGAGCTGTCACACCTCCTTTATCCTACACCCCGAAAAGGGTATTAAGGGAGTTTTTCCAATTCAAGTGACAATCGAAACGAGATTATTTCATTTAAAATTCAGAGTCACCACTTGGGATAATTTATGGTGTCCCAAGTCACCAGTTTAGAATCACGAATCGAGGAAAAGATTGACTCTGTTTTACAGTCCGCGAACACAGAAATCCGGGTAAGAAATTCTGTTAACCCGGGAGAAGGTGTTAGGCATTCCCGGGTTACGTGGTTTTAGCACGGTCGCTCAAGTGTTATTATTGGCCTATTTATTTGATTTTAAAACTTCTTTGAATCCTATGTGTATTTTTATTCCTTTTTTAAACCGCTTTTAATAATCCAATTATTATACAACTAATTACTTTATCACACGTTTGCGAATCATGTCACGGAAATCGTACCCACAATTCACGCCGTGTTTATTTTTATTTAAAAAGATTAAATTGGGGCCGGGTCACATAAATGTACCCCCGGATTTTAGAAATTAGATGTGACAACCACGTCACGGGAACTGAACCCGTAGCTATGACAATTATTTAATTAACGCGCCTAAAGCAACCTACGGAAGTACAAGGCATTTTTTATACTAATTTTTGTATTTATGTGAGGGCCATACATTATGGATTTTATTTGCGTATGGTGCACCTCAAATTATTTTAAAAGAAAGGATTTGTATATTTTATCACAACCACATCACGAGAACCGTACCCGTAGTTGTAATAATTCAATTGCGCGCCTAAAGCAAACTACGAGATTCATTTTAGTAAGTAAGTTGCAAAAATATGAGGGCCATAGATTATATGATTCAAATATATGAATGGCACACCTCAAAACTATTCAACTAAATGAACTATGGATATTCATATTTAAATCTAATCCGAAGTTAACTATCGCAACTACGCCACGGGAACCGTACCCGAAGTCGCGATGGTTTAATTACGGGCGTAAAGCAAACTACGAAATTCAAGTATTATATCTAAATTATAGGATTAAAGACATACCAACAGAGATTTTATGAACCCATAAAATTGATATACTAAAATAACATCAACAGGATCAAATAAGCTCAAAAAATCAACTCATTTTTTTAAATGCCAATCGCAGCTTTGAATTCCTCGGAGAATAACTATGGAGCTCACGTCCATTTCTCTTCCACAAACTCACAATAGCAGCTAGATACAAGATCTCCACACAGAATTACTACAAGTTCAAAATTTTAAACAATCCAACTAATTAATAATGGAAATTAAACCAACAGCAAATCCTCCAAAACAATTAGGCACAAAGTATTACAATAAAATTCATACTCAACAAATCTAACAAGAAATATACAATTTAAAGAAATGCAACTGAATCATGGCCATAAACATCACTGATACTAACAAAAAGGGAACGGACCTTTGATCAAATTGCAACTCAAACCTCAAACCGGAAACAAAGAGCAACAATCTCAAATCGAACCTCGACGGAACCTCATAGAGTCCCTGACCGGACTGCCTCGCCTCTCGGATAACAAACTCTGCGATCGAACACCCAATTCAGATCCTACCCATTTCGGAAGCCATGGCCCAAAGAACATCTAGAATTTCATTATGTTTTCGAGTTTGAAATCAGATCTGGAGTTAAGACCAACTGAAATCTTTTCCTTAATATTGATGAACTACGATGAAATCAGAAAAGTGAAAATCAGAAGTAAAAGCCAACAACCCCGAATCCCCTGTTCTATTTTCGTCACTCCCTCTCAATCTCCAAAACTTGAACTGCTCTCCCTTTGTTCTCCAGGTGGGCGCCTGATTTCCAAAACTTGAACTGCTTTCCCTTTGTTCTCCAGGTGGGCNGGGGGGGGGGGGGGTCTCCTGTAATGGCGCTGCTTTGAAGAAGAAGACAGCTTCAAGGTCTCTTTTTTGGTTCAAAAGCGGCGGATTCTCTTGTGTATCTGTCGAGAAGACCAANATTGAAGATGGTGAAGCCATGGCTGAGGGCTGGGATTCTTAGGTTAGAATGCTGAAGAGAGGGGTCCTCCAGGTGTTCTGCGGTGTATTTTGTCAATTAGTCCCTAGGTCTTTTGTGTATTAGGTCCTAGGTTTTTAGGAAGGGTTTTTCTAGGTTAAGGGAGATGAGTTTGGGAATTATGGGCTAGGTCCAAAAATTAGGCTTAAAAAATGGGTCGTTTGAGCCCAAATGTTATTCTCTTCCCGCGAACGAGAATAAAATACGATCTTATTTATTAATAATCCTACTTAAGTAAAATAACTATTAAAATAAGACTGACCGTTAAAACAAAACTATTTTTGGTATTTTTCAAGATTTAAAATGACTACAAAACATTAATGAAACTATTTTTTTTGTATTTTTATTTTCTTGTAATAAAATTAAATAAAAAGAGTTAAAATTAACTGAAATAGCGATATTAGGCCTAAATTAAATATTTTACGCTAAAATGGGTGAAGTTTCGAGGAGAGTAAAAAACACATGTCTACAACTAGTAGCCTGATCTTAATTTGTCTTGAGGTAAACATACGAAAAGAACAATTAGTCACGTGTTGGGGCCGTGCTTTGCACGAGCATACGAGTTTAGTAATTTAAATAAGCATTTTCGTCGCCATGATTTTGTTATTTACCTCGTACCGAAATAAAATAAGGTAATCATAGAATGAAAAACGTCAGGAATGAGGTAAACTAACGGCAAAATTAGCAGTCACGATCGAGGTAGCAGAAGGTACTGCCTTTATCGTGCCATTTGGAAGATTTTTGCTCGACTTGACGTTTTGGTCCTCATCCAGAGGGTATGGCTCTTTTGATTATGTACTAATTTAGGTTCTAAGTTTAATAATATGACTTCTCTTCTGTTCTTGTAGTAAAATATAGTAGAGTAGTGTTTAAGTTTTGAGATTTTATTAAATATATAATTTTGTACTTTCTAATCTATATTTCCTTTCATTCTTACTCAGAAGTTAAAAGAAGTAACTTTCTTAACCCTAAATTACGTCTTTCAATAGCGAGAATTATAACTCAAAAAGTGCTTGAGACAAAAAATAATTTATTTGTTTAAAGCGTATTAACATCTTGTCATCTTTCTGCAAACTTTTTTCTTGTGAATAGAACAAGACGAAGGAGATGGGATAGATGAACTCTTGATGTGAATAGAAATACTTGATATACTATGTTTTAACCAAATTGCACGAAAGCCAGCCTCAACATGGAAATTGACAACTTAAGTGCTTCTGCTAATATAGGTTGTGATTTATAAAATTCAAAGTTCGCATTTAATTAAAAAATAAATAGAAACTTTCAACATTAGTGTGAAAGGACTTAAACCTTACTCCCTATTAAACCTATGTTAGAGGGGACTCCCCTCTTGTAATCAAAGAAAAATAAACCCTAACTAAGTCTGTGCTACAGCTGTCTGCTCAAGGTAATTAGATCAACGGTGAAAGTTTTACACTCGTTCAAAATAAAAAATATAATTAGGGAAAGAAAAATTCTTTTACGGAGTTGAATCTCAAATTAAATGAACTGAGATAACCATTTTATTTCGGTAAAAACTTACCCACACCGGGTATTTATAACATGTTTAGTTAAGTTAACCATAAGGCAAAGGCAGAATGGTCTAAGTGGCACCTATACTTGTGTCACTTTGTCATGCCGGTCCTCCTACTTTACTTTTTTTTATCCAGACACTTCAACTTGTTCAAAATCTATATTTTAAACCCCTCTGACCGTGTGTGTATCTCACTTGCTTGACGTGGATGACACATCATATTCCATATCATTTTTTATATTTTATCTACTAAAAACACTTATTATATACTATTTCCTTAAAGAAAAAGAAAAAGAAAATCAATACCTCAACCTCATCTCTCTTCCCTCAAATTCACAGAGTTCTTCTTCCTTGTCCATCTCATATCCGTTCTCCATTCACAACCAGAAGGTGGAGGGGAGAAAGAAGAAGCTGTGGAAGGGAGAAGCGTACATCACCAAATAGTTTTAAGAAAATAGTTGCCTAAAAAAAACCTTCCAACATCATAAATTCTTCATGAAATCTATCAACCTAGACATTACAATTCGAATTGTAAATTGAATCATGAAGCAACTTTAGCGTAGGATAGGACCCACAAAACTACCAATAAATAGAACTAGTAAACGTCAATAGTGCTTGACAGTAACATGAAGCTTAAGAATGGCTCTGAGATTAGGAATATCAATAAAGTGAGTTGTCATAATGCCATAACCTTTAACAAATCTAAAAAAACCAGTCCCTGAAACAATTGAGATTTCCCTCTCCTTCATTGCAAAAAGATCAGCACCTTGAATCTCCAAAGTACTCCCTTTGAATTCCCCATCAGTGAAAATAACAGAAAACATCAAGTGCAGTCCCTTATCATCTAACTGTAAATTTATGTACATGCCTTGCGCTCTACCAATCTCTTTGGACTTTGGATCTGGACCTTCAGTTACTGGATCATCCACTGCAACCATTGTTGCATCCCTATGCCAAATGCAACTTCTTTGAAAAAGAAGAAGCAAGTATACATTCCAGAGCATATCAACGATGAAAACTAGGAGGGGAGAAGCGTACGGGGGAACGAAAAGGGAGGAGGTGTTGTTGGGTGTGCGTGTGTGGGGAGGGGGGGGGGCGGTGACGAAGAAGCGTACTGGGGAACAAAAGGGGAGGGGAGTGTTGTGGGGGGGGGGGTNGAGCGTATCAGCGATGAAAAGTATGAGGGGAGAAGCGTACGGGGGGAACGAAAAGGGAGGAGGTGTTGTTGGGGTGGGGGGGGGGTGACGAAGAAGCGTACTGGGGAACAAAAGGGGAGGGGAGTGTTGTTGGGGGGGGGGGGGAGTACAGTGGGAGTGTTGTTGGGAGGGGGGGGGGAGTACAGTGTGGAAGAAGAAGAAGAAGCGTTGGGGGGAGGGGGGAGGGGGAGGGAGGAACAAAAAGAGACATATATCTTTTGTTTTTTTCTTTTCTTTTTTACTTATTTTAATGACTTTTCTTCTTATTTTAATAATTTCTTGTTCAAATGTTCATATTCACGCTCATTATCCGCGTGAATTACACTCACTTTGTCCAGCTCAACCATTATTTTGCCACATGTGCTTGGTCAATGGTCAGAGGGGTTTAAAATATAGATTTTGAACAAGTTGAAGTGTCTGGATGAAAAAAAGTAAAGTAGAAGGACCGGCATGACAAAGTGGCACAAATATAGGTGCCATTTAGACCATTCTGCCTAAGACAAACTAAGGTCTACTAGGATTTGTATTTTTAATAAATAAAAAAATAAATCAGAAAAAGATAGTAAATTCATTCTAACTGACGTTATAATTTTTAAGGCTGCCGTCCATCTTTGTTTTATTTCCGACAGTCATCTTCTAGCATCTTGCTGCATATTCTTGTCTCTTCATTCTTTTATTTCTCCATTGAAAATCAAAAGGGTGCTTCTGAAAATATGAAGTCACTGCCTTGTTGAATGCCTTTAACAGCGAACAATTATGTGTCTTTTTTTTATGGCTAAGCTTGATGTTAAATCAAGAGTTGAATGATCTAGTTGCTAGGTAATATACTGGGAAGAAGGGGAAGCTAAGAGGTTTCTTATATAAAGGAAGAAAGATGAGGGACAACTGAAAATTGTGAAAGAATATGCAAGGTGCCACCTCACTTTCTTATTGCCCACTTTTATCACTTTTATATATATATATATTATACTATATATATTATATATATATATATATATATATATATATATTATATATATATTATATATATATAGTATATAATATATATATATATATAAGTGATAAAAGTGGGCAATAAGAAAGTGAGGTGGCACCTCTCTTAGGCCAAAAAATATTTATCTTTTTTCTCCTTTTTTGGGGGATTTTTCATCATTCTTTCAATTTATTTTATAATAAAAAATAAAAAAATTATTTTCATAACTCACAACTCTTTATCTTCATAACTTATACTTTTAAAAGTCTCAATAACTCCAATCCCTTTCAATATTCATTTTTTTAGTCTTCCACTTCATTTCTCTCATTTAATCTAGAGTGAATGAGTAATAAAGAACCCACTTAGTAGTTTTCTAGAACAAAGCTCACGTAACTTTAGCAATTGAATACCATTTCCTTTTTTTTTTGACTAACAGGGATCATATTATATATATCACATAATAGTAGAGTTAACACTGTTCATAGTGCCTGATAGGGCATTACCTACTTGGCTATTACAGGCCAACAACATGTCTCTGAGGACATTTTTGTTTCCAAAAGCTACTAGTCTAGAGCAAACATCTTTGTTAACGTACTTAACTACATTAGTCAAGCCTTCATAGTCTGCTTTTAAGACATTGGTTACAAAGTGAGGAGCATAATAGATAATATTAAGATCCCTGTCATTGTTTCCACTCAGTGCCTCCTTAGCCAGCATGTGTGCCGGCTTGTTGGCCTCCCTGAAGGTGTGCTGTATTCCCTGAACCTTCACCTGCCTCATTAACAACCTGCACTCATGAATAATGTCATTTAGCATTATCATTCCATTATCCAAACAAGTAATAACATCGGTTGAGTCTGTTTTCACTTCTAATTTTGTGAACCCTTGTCTTTTGACAATCTGTTGGCCAGTTTTCAAGGCCATTAATTCTACCTGAAGAGGTGTTGTTCCTGGAAGGTTCCCATGGAAGCCAACTATCCATTGGCCTTTGTTATCTCTGAAGACTCCGCCAAATCCACAAAGAGATAGGGCTTCTTTGAAGGAACTATCAATATTGAGCTTAATATGGCCGCTAGGAGGTTACTCCACTTAATGTTTATTGGAATTTTTACCTTTGTAACATTTTCCTTTTCCGTTAGAAGCTTATATTCTACTATTAGATTAATAGCGCTTTTGAGGCTAGCCATGTGTGTATAGTTGTTGTATAAATTGTTATTCCTGTTAATCCAAATGGCCCACATAACAAAGGGAAATAAATCTTGCCAAGTGATAGTGCCATTTTTAAAAGTAGTGTTATGGTCACGTATATGTGTCAACCAACTATCGACACTATTCCAACTGTTAGCATCGATTCCTAAGAGGGACCACAACTATTTTACTGCCATGCATTCCAAAAAGACATGCCTAATAGGTTCCCTATGAGTTTTGCAATAGGAACAGATTGGATCAATGTTTATGCCAATATGGTGTAATAAGCTTCTTGTTGGAAGTCTATCATGGTAGCATTTTCATAATAAAAATTTTAACTTGTTAGGGCAGTTCACCTCCCAAATCCACGTAAAATCCTTGTAATACTCTGTTTGGTTGCCTAAGAGGGAGTAACATGATTTGCTAGTGAAGAGACCGTTAGCGTTTAATGAGCAAACATGTGTATCATAGGTTTTCGTAGTAGGATTTGTAGCCTTTATTTTATTAATAAGTCCTGGTTCAAGCACCATTGAAAGCTTTGGTAACTTCCAAGTGTTATTCTTCCAGATATCCTTTATGGTTAGGGTGTCATCCTTTAGGGTAAGAGGACCATGAATACAATGACGAAGTGGAGGAGTTTGAGAGATCCAACGACTGTTCCACACGCTCAAGTTTGAAGACTTGTGAGGCAACCAAATAATCCCTTTGCTACAGGCTTCCCAGCCTAGCACTATACTATTCCAGATGAAGGAGGAATTTTTGGACGCTTTCCTATAACTATAGAGGCCTAAGATCGTTTTAGCCCAAGATGATTGAGTGTTATTAAGGAGTCTCCAAGAGAGACTAGCAAGGTTCACTAGGTTTTTCTTTTTGGCAGCTTGTAAACCTAGCCCACCTTCCTTCTTGTTTTGGGTGATAATATCCCACTTTATGAGGTGAAGTTTTTTTTGAGGTGTCGTTAGTACCCCATATAAAATCCCGTTGAGTCTTATCTATTTTACTAAGGATCTTAGCTGGTAGAAGAGTGTACTGCATTATGTGATTAGGAAGGGAGTTTAAACAAGAGGTGGCCAAAGTACATCTACCTGCCATGTTAAGGCAATTGGATTTCCAAGTAGTTAATCTTGAAATGATATTATCGAGGACAAATTGGAAGTCCTTGGCCCTGGGTTTAGAGCTTGTAATAGGAAAACCTAAGTATTTCCCGAAAGATTTACTAATCTTGATATTAAGGACTTGTGAGAGGTTAGCTTCAGTAGTTTTAGGGCAGTATTTAGAGGTGATTATTTTGGACTTAGTCCTGTTGACGGATTGCCCTGATAGGTAACAGAAAGAGTCAAGGCAATCTTTAATGGCTCCTATAGATTTTTCATTAATATGCGCCATTAAGGTTAGATCATCTGCAAAAAAGAGATGAGATATTTGGTGCTTATTATTGCCAATAGTGATGGGGTCCCAACACCCTAGATCAACTTTATGGTTAATTAGGGTGGAGAGTATTTCCATCAGAGTATAAACAAATAGGGAGACATAGGGCCGCCTTGTCTAATGCCTCTGCTTGGGGGAAAATAACTAGTTCTAGTGCCATTAACCAAGATGGCTATTCTGCTAGATGAGGTACAGTTCATTATGAGCTTTGCAATATTCGGAGGAAATTTGGAAAATCTCAAGGCTCTATAGACAAAGGACCATTCTAAACGATCGAAGGCCTTTTCCAGATCAATTTTTAAAATCATGCTATGCTTCTTACCACGATACTTGTTCATTTTAAGAATTAATTCCTGAATAATAATAGCATTATCACAAGCTTTCCTATTTTTTAGGAAGCTAGTTTGGTATGGGCTAATAATCGTGTTCAAGAAGGGTTTCAACCGATTTGAAATGATCTTAGTAATTATTTTAAAAATAGTGTTGCATAGGCCTATGGGTCTAAAGTTTTTTAAATTATTGGCGTTAGGAATCTTAGGAATTAGGCAAAGCAAAGTATCATTAATATTTTTAGGGATAGTACCAGTGTTGAAAACCTCTTGACATAGGTTTGTCGCAGATTTACCAATGATATTCCAATATTTTTGGAAGAAAAATGGGTGAAGTCCATCAGGCCCGGGTGCCTTATAAGGCTTAAAGGAAAAACAGGCTTTTATAATTTCAGAGTTAGTGACGGGGGCATCTAAGGAGGATAAATCTAGATTGATAAAATATTTAGGATCATCCTTAATATGTATCCAGTTGCTACTTTTGTGAGAGGTTGTGAAAGTTTTTTCATAGAAGTCTTTTGTGTGATTAATAATTTTCTCAGGGTTATCAATCCATATACCATGGCCGTTTTTGAAGAAAACAATTTTATTGATTCTTTTTCTGTTAGTGGCCATGATATGGAAGAATTTAGTAGTCACATCGCCCTCGTTTAACCAATGGATTCTAGAGCGTAGTAATGTTCTAAACGTCAATACCACACAAGAGGGGGGGGGGGTGATTTGTGTGGTACCCAATTTTCGCTCTAGAAGAACCTGGTTCTTCTAGGTGTTCTAACTACTACTATCTGCGGAATAATAAGTACATAAAATAAAGAACACAGAGA